AGTTCTTACTAGATATAGTGTAGGCGGGTATGTAAAAGAGGGGAATGTAACATGTGTGTGGAGACAGTGAGTAATTGAACTGCAGTCAGAGAGAGACGTATTGTTGTAGTTAATGTTCTACTTCTTACTAGATGTAGGGTAGGCTGGTATATATAAGAGGGGACAACGTGACGCGGTAATGTAATGTGTGTGGAGACAGTGAGTAATTGAACTGCAGTCAGAGAGAGACGTATTGTTGTAGTTAACGTTCGTTCCTTATTATAGTTTGTTTAGCGCGATTGTTGAAGTTGAGTGCATTGGTAAAGTTATATTCGGAAAGAATAAACCAGTTTTATTAAGTAAAGACTTGTGTCGTTAAAATTTCGTCGGAACGAAGTTACGGAAAAATCAATTAACAAACGGAGACGTAACAATATCTTTGTATCTTTATCAACTTTTATTTGTTTATCAGTTTAAGATATCTACACTTTAAGAACCTCACTGTTTCTATGCAGGTTATTTTGTTTGCTGATAATTCAATCTTAACCCACCACTACCATTTATCACTGGCTGAAATACACAGTATAAATTGATCTCAAATAATTATTATCTTATCTCATTCTGAAACAAGTTAGGTATGTATAGAATTCTTTAAAGAAATGTGTCAGACTATACCATTTCTCTGATGACTTTCAGTCATGTTAAAACTTGCTTTAATAAGGTGATGGTCCTAGAATAGTTTATTCAGTAATTGAATTGTCCCTCTTTACCAATCTTAAATAGCAGAAATTTATTTCAAAATTACATATACATTAGTAAACAATACTGCAAGATCTATATAGTATTAGTAAAGAAAAGTACGAGTTACCATTCTTAGTGAAACTAAATAGTAAATTATCCATGCAAATTCTTGGAAAACAAGTATGCAAACAATATTGTAAATCTTGTTTTGAATCACAGTTTTATTTAATATATGTAGTCAATCCTGCATACTAACAATAATTTTCAAGAAGATCAATTAAGTCAAACCTTAACTCCTCTCTTTTTTTAATCCCCTCATGGCTCTTTCAAAAAAAAATTTATATTCTGTGGGAGTAAAGAGTTAATGGAAATTTAAAATCATTTTATCAAAAATAGTGAGAGAAGTTTAAAATTCAAGTAAATATAAAACATAGAATCATACATAGATACACTTGATAATTATTAGACATATGAGAATGATTTGTAGTGGAGAAATATTACACTTTTTCCAAGGTAGAATAACATATCCAATTTCTCACTTCATTCTCATTATGCATGATGTTTAAATGTTTTGATGATAAAAACAGATTTAACTGATAGATATTTCTTAAATAGAATAAATATGAATGCACTATATACAGCAATTATGTTGGTTGCTATAAAATAATTAACTAAAGGACTTACAACAATGCTGAAGTCAGTCTGTTCACGAAGAAGCCTTTCTTCAGAGAGCGAGTATCGAGCATCATGGGTAATAAAATCAACTGGCCCCTTTTCAACTTGATGTTTAACAGCATTGAACAGGAGAAAGAATGCACTACCTGCAGAGTCCTAGATTTAAAAATAATAATAAAAACAGTTCTGAAGATGCACACATTTTGTATTACAGTATGACAAAACATCTGTCTTTCATTTTTATCAACACAAACAAAAATTATTGTGTAATCCTTGAAAGACTAAAAATCAAACTCTCATTATAATGGGTTCAGAATTATCAGTATCAATTGTAATGAATCTAGAGTCTGCAGAGCATTTGAACACAAGAACGGATAAGTAATGAATTTAACTTCACATTGTATGTAATTTTAGCAAGAATTAAAATACCTTTTTTTTCTTATATAGAAGCTTCATTAAAACAGACACACTTGAAACTATTCTGATCAAATGCCAAGTAATTCTCTCTTTTTAAATCTTAATCTTAGTTAATTGTGCTGGTGTAAATAAAAAAGAAAAGTATTTTCTCTAGTTATTATTACTTTCTAATCCTATTTGAATTAAACACCGAATAGAATACATCTAAAAATAGTATCTTACTTTGATGTAATTGTACATGCAAACAGCCATCCAGTTCGTTAATAACTTTTCTACAACTGACTCAGTTCTATATAACAGATAAAGATTGAAAAAAATTTGTTAGTTGGTTAGATAAGCATATTAATTAGGCATAACAAAGTATTTATCTTTTACAATAATATTTCTACAACTTTAATACAAGCTTATTGCAAGGGAAGTCAAAAATGAAAATCAAAAAGCTTTTAAGCCTAAAAATAGCTCAAAAGAATAATTATTCTCTTCTGAAAACTAGTTCTTTAGTTTCCTTAAGAAAACAACAGATTTATATAACAAATAAATAATGCATACGGAAACTTCAAACACATTAGCATTCATATAGATTAAGAATTGGTTTATTTATTTTTCCATCATTTAGCCATTCTTTAGAAAAATTATTTTAAATTGTCATTTATACAGTCCTTCTAAGATTTCTTTTTAAGACAATGTAAGCAGGGAAGCTGTTAATTAATGGGTAACAGATGTTTAGTGGAAATATTGTTCAACTACACTTAATGAAGCACAGAAAGCTAATTCAGACATTATTAACATTAGTTTTTAAATAATTCTAATAAAATTTAACGGGAACATAATTAGTAAAAGGCTGAATCTAACTAACTCATTATTAATTAGATCTAAATTGCTACAGAGAAATTTTAGTAAAGAAAGGATTTAAAAATATAGAATTTTACTTCACATGAAAAATGTCTGCAGATATACACATCTCATATAGCAATTCAAAAGTTCAGAAACTGAGACTACACCATACAGAACAACTATAGCAAAATGGCATTACAACACAGAGCTTTTTGCTATTTGAAATTAATGAGCCAGTGTGTTTAAATATAATAATATAGATATTCTTAGAAATATAACCAAAGTGAATATTAAATTGATCATTAGTAAAACCTCTGTACAATGCTTATATGGAAGCATAAAATAAATGAATTATGTTCAAATTTAATAAAAACACTGTCAAGCATTGTGACATTCCATTGGATTATGAAGATATGAAATAATTTATTAATACAAATATAAACATCTTACCTTCTGAGCATCAATTGTGGATGTCTTGTTTCTACATATTTATTTATTAACTTCAGCAGGAGCTCTTGAAGAATTCTAAACCACATATCAAAACAACCTATTAATGTATGGAGTTCTTTCAAGGTTAAAAAGAAATGAGAAATTTTGGAAAGAGTTATTAATAGATAAGTTATCAAATGACATGTGGATTTAAACAAAAATATAAATTTCACTTTGCTACATGCTGACAAGTTTTACTTATCACTTACTAAAAGCTTTAGTATTTACCTGAACATTACAAGTTGGTTTTTAAGAAGCTAAATGAAATGCAAAATCTTATAAACACACACATTATATATATTACATTTTTTTAGCATTGAAAGTACAATAATTATAACTAAAATAATTAAGCACATTTAGTAGTACTTACTCAGTGGCATAGTCTAATTTCTCAAGTAAAATAATCATTACAAGTGATGCTACATTCACTCTGTTGGAAGAAAAAACCATAAAACCATTTCAAAAAGACAAAATTCTAGGTTCAATATTTATCAAACTCATTTTTTCTTTTTCTTTTGAACCACTTTTACAATTTATACCTTATTTAATCAAAAAAATAAACTACACCTATTCATGTTTTTTAGAAATTGAAATTTCTTACAAGTTCAAACAGTTATAAAATACCATACAGGAAAATCTTTTACAAACATTTTTACCACAACTAAATTTTTGTTTACTTTACTTCATAATTCTTTGAAGATTCATTGGCCATGATAATTGCATATACAACATTTAATATCAGTGAAAGACAATAAGCATATAAAACACAAAAAATAAATCACATACTGGCTCATTTATTACTACTGTAAACATTACTGATATATATTTCATAATTTTTTATCACATCTTGATTGTTTAATAAAGATGCATGCACTTAGAACTTAAGTACAGTATTACATTTTCATTTCATTTCAGCAAAGAACTCTTAAGAAGTAACACTCAAAAAGGAATCCTAAGAAACTGTAAACTTGTAAAAATTTAATTTTCTAAACATAAAAGCTCAATTCCATACATACTTGTCTCTGATGGTGAATGTTCGTTGGTTTTCCAGTGTCTCAATAAAGATTAATAAGAATTGTTTGCAGTAAAGAAGTTGCTCAAACTGGGCCATTGCCAAATGATAGGTTGTCCTAGGTCCATTCAGCTGCTGAAGTATACAAAATCCAGAATTTGCAATGTGGCAGTTTGTAATAACATGCCAGTAAATATGGTGCCCAGCAATGATTACTTACATGAAGTTTAGTTATTGCAGTTAAGGGATAATGGTTCTGCTTAACATTACTGAAGGTAAAGTAATAATTATAAGTACAACTTTTGTCTGTGAGCAATTTCAACCAAAAATTAATTACACCTTAGCACTTTGACACAGCAATTAATAAACATTGTATGGAAACAGTCAATCATTCTCAATTAATTAAAATTTAACTTTATTATTCAGATAAGTTTGCTGTACCAATTACTATCTGCATTTCATCCGAATTCTGACATTAAGTCAACCTTGTGTTTATGTTAAATAAATCTTCACAATAGAATGCTAAGTACATAGCTATTAATAACTAAATGGTATGTACTCCAGTGGGCTCAGCACTGTTATTAATTCATCAAAACTAACATGAATTTTGCACACAGATATCATCAAAACTAAAATGCATTTTGCACATTGATAATCCTCATTACTTCAACATAAATATGTAAAAAATTACAAAATTATCATTAAACGTGCTTTAATTAGAAAAATTATTTGAAACCTATCTTTTGTTTTACATTGAAAAAATAATTTAGTTATTGTTATGCATGTGCTAGTACTCTCATCAAGTGTAGAAGCAACAGGATACATAAAGTAGAGAGGAAATATTCTTCATTTAAAACAATTTCATAGCTATTTAATAATTAAGTGAAATTCAAGTTGGATCATACTGTCATTTTACTTATTAATCTGGCAGAAATCCAGAAAAATTGCTGAAATATAGTAAGTGGCAATCCTACATAAAACTCAATATGGTCTAAAGTGCAGTTCAATAAGGTGTAAGAAAACTAGTGTTCTATGTAAGATTCCTTTTTTTTAGGTTTGAAAGGCCAAAATGGACAGCCTGTAATGCAAAATTTATGACTGAGTTGTGTGATATGTTTACAGTGATGGAGCACTACTTTTAATTATACCTTAAAACACATACAATCATTAAAACTCAATCTTCACATAGTAAATTCACTAACAATTGATTATAACATTTCATTGTATATTTTTCTTTCAAAAGACTTGGTTATTAAAAGCTGTAAAATATATATTTTCCTACTTTAAATTCTTTGAACAAAGGGTTTTCCGTCATCCCTGGGAAGAACACCCTTATTACAAAAGTTTGATGGTCTAAGGTTGGAACACCTGTCGTCTGAATATCCTTGTTTAGATCAGTCATGTCAGTTTGAAGTTCAGCAAATGCTACAAGACAAACAAAAGTGGTTGTTGTGAGGTAAAGATCACACTGTATAAATCTCTTATAACATTGAAGGATTAATTTGGCCATGATGGTCAACTGATTTACATTTTTGTAAAACATTGTTTTACTATCTGCAATTAGTATCTCTTACCTGTCTTATATTCTTATAATATATTACTTTACTTCTTTTTAGTCCATTTAAGCATTTTCTTACCTTGTTTACATTCAGATCGTACACTATTCTCTAATGTGTCCATCTGAAGCTGAATTCGCTTGTATTCTCGTTCTGCTTGAAAGCTCTTGTATCGTAAAACAACCAGAATTATAAGAGTGATCAACATCAAAAGAGCTCCACCTGCTGCAATACCTCCAATAGCTTCTGGTAGAAATTCATAAATCTTAGTGACCTCATAGCGGAGGTAACCAACTTCATAGCGAAGGTTTTTCCCAACCCTTACCTGTAAGCAAATTAAATATTAATATCTTTATTTTCACAAAATTAGAAAACTAAAATATTAGTTGAAATATTACAGACAGGAGAACAACTTAAAACTAAAGTGTTGTATACAGGGTAGGACTAAAGGTACTGTACAAATTATACAGCTGGTACTAAAAAAATATTATGAAATTCAATAAAAACTCAATTATTGTTGTTTCAGAGAAACAGTTAGAAATTACTCTATGTTATAAATGAAACAATCATATCACTTTTGCACCATCATGTATTTTTAGTATTCACTAATTTCCCAAGAAATTTTTAATATTTTTCATAACATTTATCAATCTCAACTGAGTTCTTAAAAATAAAAGTGAAAAATATTTTTCGTTTTTTTTTATAGAATCTTTAAAAAAATATTACAACATCTTAATATATTCACACAGTCTTTGAATAACTGAAACAGAATTTTAAAATGCCTAATTTTCCTTTCCCTGCATCAAAAATAATAACTTTGTCACTATTTTTAGTTTTGCTACTAACTTAGTGTTTTAGACATAAAAAGAACTGTAAAGAAATTACAACTATCATTACACAAAATGTTACCTAATATTGTTGGTGCTATGTGGGATATAGAAGCTACCACTTTCAATTCTTTCTTTAAACAAAATATATGAAAAGATCCAGTAACTGATGCCAAATAATTTGTTATTGCAAATCATATAACAAGATTAAATAAGCAATTTTGATATCATCATGAAAGGCAAAGTTATTTTACAGCTCCTTAAGTTAATAAATCTTAGATTATATTTCAGTAGTGTTTCAAACCAAACTTTTCTTATTGATTTATATGCAGACCAAAGATCTGCAACTCTAAAAGTATACTTCATTTCTGAAATCAAAACCTTTAACTTTCAATGAAGTACAAGAAAACACAGAACTAATGTGAATAACTAGAACTTACTACAACCAGTGGTAAGTTATTTTCAGTTGTTCTACCTAGCTCATCCATACCAGGTGGTTGGACCTCTGGTGGTAAGCATACTAACTGTGACATGCTCAAAGATGTCAAGTTACAGGGACGTGTGCCAATGGTTACATTTATTTCAGACTCTGTGCTTGCAAGCTGCAGGTTTTCTCCCTGTAAAATTTGTGTTGAAAATGATTAAACATGAACATTGTTTTTACTAGGTAAATATCCAATAACTTATTTCAGTATTAATGTAATTTCAAAGAAAATTAAGAAAATGTTATTGCTCTAGCATTTACAGATAATTTTTCTCTCTTTTTCAGCTATAGATCTACAGAGAAAATTCAGTGAAAGAAATCCTCACAAACTGCATATCTGTAAGTTGTAAATGTATGAGTGTGTGTGCATGTAAGAAACAACAACACACAGAAAATATAATCAAGCTGAAAAAAAGGTAATTTTTTTAAAATGAATTTAATTGCCTATTAGCTTTGTTCTTTCAAATAGTCACATCTAATTTTGATACATGCCAATGCTACAAACTATAGCACTAAGGAGTATTAAAAAGATAATGATTCTAATCCTCCTGTTTATACGGACAAGGATACAACTGTGAGGAAAAACATATTTTTACTATGTAGAATCCACAAGAATGAGCTCAAATAAACATTAAGAAACCAAAATTCCCTTGCATGTAGGAATATAATTAAAAGTAAATTTTTAGTATTCATGATGAAACCAATAATGTTCTAATCACCTCTATTACAAGGCTTTCTCCCTTGTATAACTTGATCCCTTCATTTCCAAACTGATAATATTGTGGATCAGTCACATATTGCAGATGAGCCTCAAGCAATGGATAATAGTGTTTTAGCTCCCTAACTGACTGAACATCATCCATTACAAACCCAATTCTCAGTATTATGTGCTTAACAGTATGACGCTGATGAATCCAAGGTTTACTTCTTTTGTAAACTTCTGAATGTACAGCAGGTGATGGACACATCATCATGGTGGTGTTAATAACTGTGCAGAGCTAAATAAGGAAATCAAGATATTGAAAGTATCAAGCATTTGCAGGAAAATTAAAACTCAGATGACACTTAGGCAAAATTAAATATCACACAATTTGTACATTTTCTAAAAATTGTAATGACTTCACCACTTTCAGTTGCTTAACACAAAATGTCTCAATAAAAGAACTAATACTGTTATGTTAAAAATTACTTGTATATTTCTAAATACAGATGAAAGTGGCAACTTGCACTACTAAAAATAACATACTTACAGTTTCATTCACTACTCTTGTCTGGCTGAAAACCACCATTCGTGGCTGCTGAATAGAAGTTAGGTTGGTCCCAAATACTTTAACAACACGGCCACCACTAGAACATAAGAAACAGGCAAATATATTCATATAAAAGCAACCCCAGAGCAAGAACCTTATAATCATGAAATAAAATTCACCAGCTAAGTAAATGAATAAACACTTACCACTAAATCTATAATTAATGAAACATTTCTCATTGTAGAATATTTTATGATGAAAGCTGAGCTATTCACAATGATACAGTACAGGTAGATAAGTGAAAAAAGAAGGAAACTAAATTAGCTACAAGCAAATAGTTCTGGTAAATAAGGAATGAGAGACAGAAAGAGATCTAGCCACAATGAAATTATTACCTGTACAAAATGAAATATCAAAATTGAACAAGCCACATTGAAAATGTTCTGATTAGCATGTAATGAAAGATGGCAACTGAACAAGCCACAATAAAATTGTTTTCATCAATACCATTCACAATGAAACATATACACCAAACTAGGCAAACTGTTTGCTACTGTTTAATATCTTATGAATAACAGTAGCTGTATATATCAAATAAGACCATTCATTAACTGCACACAAAAAAAATTCAGGATGAAATATTTAAAGAGATAAACTTTGAAGGTATCAAAATAATATTATTTTGCTACTTCTTGGCCAACCAAGCACTATACACTTGAACCAAATTTGATTACATAAAAAACAAACATTTCATGATACAGACAAACTATATTAATGGAATACATGCTATGTATTTAGCAACTTTATTTTTGTAAAACATGCATACAAGATTGTCTACAAGTTTTCAATTTCACCTTCCTTACACATTTACTATACATCATATGATTTAGCTGCATGCTAATGTTAATGAGTGAAAACATTAATACACTCATTATAAGTTTTTAATCCATGTATTTACTACTTGCTAAGGCAAAGACTAAATATTTAGCTAAAATATTAAAATACTTAACTACTTAGGATAAGAGATCTATAACTGAATTTCTAATTAGGTTTATAGACTCACCTGAAGTAACTTAATAATGGCTCAATACGCAGGATAGTAGGGTCTTGTGTGTACAGAAATGCATCTTTGAGGGTTAAGTTGGTATTATCAATCCTTAGCAATAACTGTTTAATATGGTAAGATGGCACAGGAGCACGAGTAGTACGACAGCTCAATTGGCTACTACTGGCAAGTGGTCTGAAATGCAAAGCAGTAAATATTTAAGAAAGTACTTATGAATATCTCTTAAACATAGGAAAATAAAAACTTTAATTAGAATTATGTAAAATATTACTCATTTTAATAATACATATTAAGTTAACTCTAAAATTAGGTTGCACGATCACTATGATTTCCAAAGTAAATCAATAAATAGAAGTAAAAACTTATAGTAATTGCATTATACTGATAAATTATGCACTCTGTCTGTTAATAACATTTTTCTTAACTTTTCTGTTAAACTTAAAATCAATGAAATGTTCATTTCTAAATAAAAATGTGATTATAATTATCCTTTTTCTATCCATTTATAGTTCTCACCAACAAAAATATTTTGAAAAGAAAACTTTAACAAAATCTAAACACATCATACCAGTAATAAAAACATTCCAATCAATCATAGTTATGGAAAGTACCTCATGTCTCATTAAGCTACATTAAAAAAAAACACAAATAAATGTTTATTTTACCGAGTTTATTTGTTTTCAACCTGAAATTTATTTGGAAAAGAAATTTGCTATTAAATAATATTTACTAATTTCTTGTCGGAAATCAAACAAAAGTTAATTTGTATACAATGCAACATTTTTTATACTTGATGAATAGAAAAATTTATTTATTGGTAAGAACAGAATAATTAATTTCAAATTTCAATATTTATAGTGCTATACAAGAGTGTAACTTTAGCTTATCTATAACCTGGCTCAACCATTTATGACATTTCCAGATTTATTTACAATCTTCACTATCTTCTAGTTAGTTCAAAGAAAATATAAGGGTGGTGCAAATAAAATGTTTATAGAAGCTTCACTGTAGTTGGCAGAAAATTTCATTTAAAGCATAAACTTTTTACATTTATAGAGAGGTTATTATTGAAAGTTACCTACTGAACAAACTTGAAATATAAAACACCTCATGGTTATATCAGACACAGGGTAAAAAATAGGAATTTAGATTGTGCAAATATTAAGAAATTCAAAATATCAAATGTACAATTTTAAATACTAACATTTCATAAGCTGTAAAGATCATAATTGTATAATTCGATTTTCACAATCTTTCAAAGTTTGATAGAAAAACAAACAAAATCTTAAGAGAAATCCTCTCACTGATACAATTACTCTCGAGTACAGTGTAAGCAATACATATAGCTGAATGAAAAAGTGCTATATCATTAAGTGCTTACATTACTTAAGTGTCAAGTAGTTTTTCCATGTCTCTGCTAAATATTTTGGCAGAAAATCAGATACGAGTTGAGCTAAATTGTAATTGAGGGAAATACTCATGGTTGAAAGCTAATATTAAGACACTTTTGGAAGCGAGGTGGAGATTACCATATTTGGAAAAGAGTACTGATTTGTCTTAATTCTGAGTTCTGATATATGTAACAAGTTTGCTTTGATCAAAAGTTAATGATAATTATATGTGATAGAGGAAAACAGTGGCACAATGGTGGTGTTAATTTTATTGCTTAATACATTTGAAACTTTTCACTTTTAACTTATTATGAACACCAAACATCAGTTTTTAGTGACATCAAACAGATCAGAAATTGCTCATATTTCTAGTAGGAATGTTTATAAAGTGAAAATTTACCATATATGTTTACTCTTTAGAACAGCTTTTTTCCACATAACCTGATCTTTTCTTTTAGGATTTACGTTTTATGAGAACACAATTAATTTAAAACTACTTACCTTTCTACTCGGCAAGGAAGATCATCAAGAAAAATGTCCACTTTACTTCCAATGTTAAGGTTGTTACCAGTGAGGTAGACCCTTGTTCCACCAGACTGTGGACCAAGCTTTGGATAGACATTCTCCAGTGTAACCTCCTTTAATTAAGGCAATTATTAAAAACATAATATTCACTTGCAAATAAGGTAAGTGATATTTGATGTGTACATAATTATAGAAACTTATTTCTTCAACCTTCAGAAAAAATAACAGCCACGTTTGGCACACCAATAGAAGTTTGTTTCAGCAGTTGTTACTTAGTTTCTATCATCTCAGCAGGAATTAAAGTTGCCTAATAACTTATTTTTGTAAAATGTAATTAATATAAAAAATACATGCCTTCAAAACACCTATAACTTCATAATACATAACTATTTTATGTTTAAATACATTTCTTAATTGAAATATTTCAGAAAACTGGTAGTTTGGAAATACTCACAATTCAGTAAAAATAAAGTTAAAACATAGTTAATTAAAGATTTTAAGATATATTCCTTCTTCAGTGTTATTTTCATTAACAGCAATGTTTATACTTTAATATATATTTTTATCATATTATAATGGATGTAACCTGTATGTTTGTATCACCATCCCATTCTAGGTGTTACTATAATCTATACCACTGTATTCTGAGTATCACTGTGCATTACCACCCTGTTTTGGGTGTCATTGTACTACACAACCATATTTTGGAGTCATTTTGCCTTACTATTATATTTTCAGTGACACAGTGTCATGACATTATATTCTCACTGAAACTGTGCCATATAGAATATCTTTAATGTCAATACACAGTACCATAATATTCTGAGAGTTGCCATGAACATTATTTTGAGTAACAGCGTCATACCATAATGTTCTCAGTGACAGTGTCATGCCATTATATCCTCACTGACTATGCCATATATAATACTTTTAATGTCACTGAGCAATACCATCATATTCTGAGTGATTCTATGCTATACCACATTTTGAGCAACTCTACTGAGTCACACCATAATATCCTCAGTGGTACTAAGCAATATTATAATATTCTGAGTGTCATGTCACCATATTCTGAGTATCACTGTACCCTATACCAGAATATTATAAGCACATTATAAGCATATTCTGAGTGCAATTCTGCAATACCATACAATATTGAGTGCAATTCTACAATAACATACATACATACTCTGCATCCAATTCTGAGTACCATCCTGCCATACTATCCAATTCCGAGTACCATCCTGCCATACTATCCAATTCCGAGTACCATCCTGCCATACTATCCAATTACGAGTACCACTCTGCCATACTATCCAATTCCGAGTACCACTCTGCCATACTATCCAATTCCGAGTACCACTCTGCCATACTATCCAATTCCAAGTACCACCCTGCCATACTAACCAATTCTGAGTACCATTCTGCCATACTATCCAATTCCGATTACCATTCTGCCATACAATCCAACTTGCAGTGCTATTCTGTCACACTATGACACCTTTAATGTCATTGTGCAATACCATTATACTCCGAGTGTTACTATGCAATATATCACCATATTCTTGGTGACACTGTGTTTATGGTCATATTCTGAGCTACTATACACTATGTCACTGCACATTACTACTCTATTTTCAGTGACAACATGCCATACCACCATATTCTAACTGTAACTGCCATACTACCATATTATGAGTTTCATTCTGCCATACTGACACATTTTTTAATGTCACTGTACCATACCTCATATTCTCAATGGTGCTATTTAATATAGTTACATGTTTAATATAATTGTGCAATATAATCATATTCAAAGTGCCACCATATTCTGAATCATTCTGCCATACCACCATATTTCAATACCATTCTGCTATACAATAATATTTAAGTGCTACTGTGCCATACCACAAAATATACTGTCACTGTGTTTTACCATAATATTCTCCATGACATTGTGTTATACTATCATATTTTTCATGTCACTGAGTAATATCATCATATCCAAAGTACTGCTATGTACTATTGTAATGTTCTGGTATTACTGTGCACTATCACTATGTTCTGAGCACCACTGTGCATTACTACCATATTGTGGGTATCAACATGCCATACCACTATTATCTTAATGTCATTCTGTCATCCCATTATATCTTGAGAGCTACTGTACAATACTGCTATATTTTAGTGTTGCTGTGTTATACCACTATATTCTGAGTAATGTTATGTAATACTGCCATATTCTGGGCATAAATGTGCCATAACACTCTAATTTAAGTGGAATTACATCACACTACCCCTATTCAATGGAACTGTATCACACCATCCTTTTTTGAGCACCACTGTGTCATACTATCATTTTCTGAGTGTCATTGTATACTAACCCCATATTAAAGTGCTACTGTACCCTATATTACCATATTCCTATTATGATAGTGTTACAACAACATTACGAGAACCACTGTTGACTATATTCTATTTTAAATGCTATTGCAATTACCACACTATTCTGAGTGCCGCCATGTCAAATCATCCTATTTGAATGTCACTTTGCCATATCACCACATACAAAGTATTATTCTGCCATACTACTATATTTTAAAGTCATTGTGTGTTACTGTGTCATATAACCATATAAACTTTAGTTTCATTATGCTATTATGATTTATTCTCAGTGACATTGTCATACTTGAATATTATAATGTCACTTTACAATAAAATCTTATTCTGTATTGTATAATTTAATGTCGGTATACCATATGACATTTGTGACAGTGCTGCACCACCCTATAAACAGGTATCACTGTGCAATGACACCCTAATATGAATATCATTTTGCCTTTTTACCATATTCTGAGTATAACACAGTACCATACCAGATTTTAATGTCAGCATACCATACTACCCTATTTTGATTGCCATTCTACTAAATACTTTTCAAGTGTAATATCACCATATCCTAACTATGACTATGATATATCTTCATATTCTAACTGTCAATGTGCCATAAAAGTATCTTCTAAGTGATAAAATATTATATTGTTTTCTAATACAACATCACTGTACCATCATTTGAAGTTTTATTGTGTCCTGCCATCGTTTTCTTAGTGTCAATGTATTTCATCAATATATTTAAGTGTTACAGTACCAGGACAATTTCCCTGTGGGTCTGCATACCACACTATAATATTCTGTAACTGTCATTATCATCATGTTATAAATATTAGCATTTATTCTACAACAATATGCCTCACTATATCCTACACCTCTGTGTACCACATTTTAAATAATTGAACCCCACCATGCGAGTGTCACTGTACCAATGCAGTTGGTTTCTCGTTCATTACAAAACAACTTAAAAAACATCAGTAATCAAATTTGAACAATGAGCTATTGCTATGTAGAATAAACTCTTTTTACTTGGAAATGACCATGTCTACTTTCAATCTTCAAAATATATCTCATTTGAAAACTAAGCCAAATAAAGTCACATGGTTTTTGATTAAAACTTCATTGATTTCTTTTAATTATCTTCTCTAAAACTGGCATATATTCAAAGGATTAGTATATGAGCTAATCAAGAATAACCTTAATGACTCATTCATTTATCATATGATGCCATCACAATTAATCACTGTCATTAATCACAGTTGCACATCTCACTGTTTGCTTATTAGTTTCATTAATCTCATAGCTTAGCTCTCACAAGGCACTTATTGCTCTATCCAACAAAGTTTGTATATTCAAATGGTTTTTAAGTCACAGAACATGATTTGTGGCAACACACAGTCTAGGAATCAGAAAATTGTGGGTGATGTAAGTTGGTGGCATAGATGTGTAATGTTAAATACAACTACATCTCTAATAATAGCACTGAACTTTGTACACTGAACAAGTCTATATAATTCTGAGTAGGAAATAGTCTTGAATATAATGAAGATGTTATTCATTATGTATGTGTTCAGAGACCAATTTTGGTTTAAAACCTATATTGATTAATTGGATTATAGTATTATATTTACAAATATTTGTTACATGAGATTAGAAAAAACCCTTTCTACAAAAAGCAACCACAAAAAGTTTAGCTGACAACCAAAATTCTTGGTAAGAAACATAAAATTTAAAACTTTATAGTGTTTTTGAACTGTTTGATACAGTTGTTTCTACCAGTTAATCATTATTCAAAAATACTTTTTAATGTATCACAGTGATATTACAATAAAAAAAAGAAATTGGCAAAATAAGCCTTTAAGTACTTTTAATAATTGGATGTTGATATGGGTTGTAAATGTTACGTCTCTAGTCATTTGTTAATTTTCCGTAAAAAATACTTTCCGAAGAAACTTTAGCGATACAAGTCCTTTCTTAAATAGAACTGGTTTATTCTTCCTGAATACAACTTTGCAATACACTTAATTTCCACGGTCACGCTATAACTTAAACAAACGCTGTATGTCACAACGAATGAACGATTCACGCACTTGGCTCAATTGTCGTCTGTATCTCTGTCTGCAATTCAACTACATTTTTGCCGTCACTTGTTGGCGGCTTATATATACAAGAATACCGCATATTTAGTAACCGCTCGAGACTTCAGGAAGGGACATAAACGTTCGAGAATATGACGTGTTACTAGCGTCACGTGACCCCCGCTGTTGTAACACTGCCCCTTCCTTAGTATTGTTTGTCCCGAACAATAGCCACTTACATTAAACCAATAACAATTAACAATAACTTAATTAAATGTACAGAATTACAAACACAAAATTACAATTCAACAAAATCTCTTAATTTTACGGGACGTATCTTCTTCCGTACTGGTTTCCGTCTCGTTGGCTTCTGCTTCACGTGGGGTTCATCTGCTTCATCAGGAAATGTCCTATCGTCGATAACAGTGACATCTGTGGTAGTAACTTCATCAAGAGCTTCACCGTTTCCATTCTCAAAACTGAGTATAGTTTCTTCTTCGACAGTGGCTTTTTCAGGTGACACTTCTTCAGCAGCGTTATTTGTTCCTTTGTTCGCTTCGTCCCAACTGAAATGTCCTGGACCATGATAACGCCAAACCCTGTTGGCATGCACCACTTTTGGCTTACCTCGCCGACCAAATTTTATCGGGAAAGTTACGTCTAAGAGATGATCCACTATGTCATATGGGCCTTCCCATGGAGAAGACAACTTATAAGACTTCCCTTTGGCCTTCCTGGGATTATACAACCACACCTTGTCTCCTGGTTCAAAGCTGACTTCAGTAGATCTCTTATCATAAGATAACTTCATCGAATCAGCAGACGTTTTCAAGTTTGAACGCATTTGATGGTGAATATCATCCAACCTTTCCGATAACACTTTCACAAACTCTGACACATTCTCAGGCAACTCTTCATAATGTGGGCGTCCTGTTAACAGATCCACTGGCAACTGAAGTTCCTGACCAAACATCAACTTTGCTGGAGTGTATCCAGTGGTTTCATGCTCTGCTGTCCTATAGGCCATCAACAGTGGAGGGAGTAAGACATCCCAGTCATCTTGAGGACTATTACAAAACTTTGCCAATTCATGTCCAAGTGTCCAGTTGTACTGTTCTACCAGCCCATGAGACTGTGGGTGAAGTGGCGTTGTCCTGGTCTTTCGG